AAAAAAAAAAAAAAAAAAGTTTGCTCCTGCTGATCACTTCCTTCCTTGGTTCGAATCTCTCCCGAATCATCACGTCTCCCTTTCACCCCAGGGCTGCCTCTTGGCTAACACATGCTCCGGCCACCTTAGAGCCAAGTCTCCTTCGAAGCTAGGGCCTTGCAGCCGGGGACCCGACCCTGCTGACCACGCTGTGCCCCTGGAGCTGCTCCTGCTGCATGCCAGCCTGCCCAGTCCCCCAACACTCCCTCTCCCCAGGTGCCCGCCCTCCTTCGGCCTGAACAACAGCTGCTGCATTCCCTGGGGTTTGATCCGTAGCTTCGGCCTCTGCATCTCCATGCCCCACCTGTGGGATATCTTTTCCACGGCTCCCTGGCCCCTCTGCAGCCCAGACTTCTAACCAGGCCTAACTCCGCACCCCCTCAGGGGTTGTGAGGAACAGAGGCTGGGTCTGGCCAGGGCTTACCTTGCTCTCCAGCCTCCCGATCAGCTCTGCCAAGCGGCTGATCTGGGTTTCTAGGCCCTCTTCCTTTGTATCCTCAGCAGCTGAGGAAGAGAAGGAGACACACAGACTGCAGTGGCGGGCAAGGCGAGGGCTTCGGGGGGAAGCCGGAAACACCCAGCCCCCCAGGGGCCTCAAACTTGCCCCTCCCCTCCCCAGTCCCTCTCAAAGGACTCTCAGAACCCCCGGCCGGTACCCCCACCAGGGCCCCTGCTTTCTCTCACCAGATGGAAGACTCCTGCCTTGTTCCGTGGCCATGAGCTTGTGGTTGGGGGCAGAGCGGGGAGTGGGGCTTCCACACCAGGTCTGCGCCACACTGTGGCTGGGTTTGCTGTGGTTCTGTCTGCAGTTGGAATGGGAGAACAGACAGATCCTGACCACTTCTAGCAGCTTCAAAAACATTTATTAAGCCCCAATAGTGAGCTTACCCATGCACAGGGCTTGCCCATGGCCTTTGAGAGAGGAGGAAATGAGGTTCCTACAGCAGGTGCCTCAGCCAGGGCCACGCACCCTGCTGGGGCAGAGCTGGGATCTGAATTCAGCTCCATTCAGGGACCTCACGGCCCAGGCCTTTTCCTCAGGAGATTCAGTTCCAGGGAGAGGCTGAGCCAGCTGCCGACCCCAACCCTAATAGCTCACAGATTCCAGGCACCTGGAGACCCCACACTGTGGAGGAACCAAGTCCCCCTCCTCCCTCATGAGAAGCCAGTTTGGTGTTTGGTGCCCTCTACGGTGGGGGACCTACTTTTAAGACCCTCCTCCAACACACATGCATAAAAGCAAGACCTAAAGAGACACTGACAGTGGGGGATGTAACCGGACAGCAACTGCTCTCCTGACCTGAGCCTGGCCCCATCTCCTGGCCCTGGTCACCCCTACTCCTGAGCATGCTGATCTGCACACACCCCTGCGTGCCCTGACAGGCACAGCTAGCCAGAGGCAGACACACAGACACACACACTGCTCACCTTGCGCTGTGCCCAGCACACAGGAGGGACTGTGCCCAGCACATAACAGAGACTCAAACAATGCTCAGTGAATGACCACATCCTCTGGTGCAAAAGGATGCTGGAAAGCTCCCTGCAGACATACAGAAACACAGACCCCCTCCCCCCCACACACACAAAAGACACACACAGAGCCCCGTGCACAGCCCCCACACCCTCTCGGTCTCTGGACACCATGGTCTTGGTGCATTGTGGAATTTGTCTCCTGTGAACCTTGAACACTCAGCCCGGCTCTCCCCCATGCCGAGGGAGCAAACTGCACTCCCACCTTGGGAGGCGAGAGACCGGCAGAGCCTTTGTGGTGTCAATCACGGCTTCTCTATAAACCAGCAGGAAATTAGATGTCAGGTTGCTCAGGGCTCCTGGGCAGTGGGGTCTGAGCCAGTAGCCTGTGCTGGAGGCGACACCCTGGGAGACTGTCCCAGGTCTGAGACAGGATACTCCTCAGGGACCTACAACCTAGAACCAAACTAGCTGAGATTTAGGGAGGTTTGAGGGAGGAGCATGTGTGGAGCAGAGGTGTCCCCCGATAATGACATGTCACCCCCTCCAACAACATCCCCAGGTAAGGTCCCACCAGGGCGGGCAGTGGGTGGAACTGCTGACACGTGAGGGAGCTGGCCCGGTGCGGGAAGTCAGCTCTGAACACTGTGCAGCAATTCTGTCTGATCTGTGGCAGGATAAAAACAGCAAGTTTTTCATCAACACACTAACAGAAAACCAAGGAAATCTAAGTTTCAGCTTTCAGAGTGATGGCTGCTAATTCTAGCGAACCCAGGAAGCATAAGACTGATCACAGATGCCAGGTTCTGTGCTCCAGCCCAGGGATTCTAACCAGTGGGTATGGCCAGGAGTCCAGGAATCTGTACTCTACTTTAGCAAGTGCTCAGAGCCAGCTCATTCTGGAAACAGTGTCTCAGAGTGCCCTTCACAATCTGATTGGGACCAGGTCTTCACCCACAAAGAAACACACAATCAAACCCGTGCGCATCCCCCCAACAAACCGACATCCTGGTCCTCATGTGCCTCTCTGCCTGGAATATTCAAGGCTCAATCGAGCTTGGGTACCGACACCTGGCTGTGCCCACACCTGTTTGCATTTTCTCTTTTTCTTCTCTGTGCCAAGCACATCAGCTGTTCTGGGAAGAACTGGGCAAAGAGGGGTTTATCTCAACTCGGGATAGCAAATGGGGGTGGGGATGCTCGCGGTCCCCAGGGGGCTGGGACTGCTGAGCCAGGAGAACACCGCTCCTCTCTCAATACCAGGTCCGAGCCCGAACACAGCATCCACCACCTAAGAGGAGACCCCAGACGCGTTCCCATGGCTCTAAGCACGCACACCCAAGACCACAAACTGTGAGAAAACCACTGCACTTTCATGTCTCTTTCTGTCCTCCCAGCAAAGTTCTAACCTGCTACTACTGTCTTTAACACCTCGTTCCCATTTCGTGGTCTCTCATTTTAGCAGAGGAGCAGCAAGCCTCAGGATACAAGCTGGAATGCAGGAAACGACAGGTGCTTATTTTTATAGTGACTTCACTTACGGCATGTGATACTCAGTGTGCAGTTACTTTAGCATGTGCCATTTCCCACAGTGATTTCTAATTTTCAGCAGTGGGCTGGGGTGCAGTGGCTCATGCCTGTAATCCTAGCCCTTTGGGAGGCTGAGGCGGCAGGATTGCTATGGCCAGGAGTTTGAGAACAGCCTGGCCAACATAGCGAAACCCCATCTCTACAAAAACTTTTACAACGGTAGCTGGCTCTGGTGGGACTACGTGCCTGCAGTCCCAGCTCCTTGGGAGCCCGAGTTGGAGGCTGCAGTGAGCCACAACGGTGCCACTGCACTCCAGCCTGGGGGACACAGTGAGATCCTGTGTCGAAAAATAAAATAGGCCAGGCACAGTGGGTCACGCCTGTAATCCCAGCGTTTTGGGAGGCTGAGGCAGGTGGACCACATGAGACCAGGAGTTCGAGACCAGCCTGGCCAACAGGGCAAAACTCTGTCTCTCCTAAAAATACAAAAATCAGCCAGGTGTGGCGTTGTACACCTGCAATCACAACTACTCAGGAGGCTGAGGCATGAGAATTACTTGAAACCAGGGAGGGACAGGTTGTAGTGAGCCAAGATCATGCCACGGCACTCCCGGATAACAGAGGGAGACTCTGTCCAAAATAAAGAAAATAAATCATAAAATAAGATATGGGCCAAACAACAGAATGGTTCTGCATAAACAGTAAGCAGTATGTGGATGTGGATGTGGATGTGGCAAAACAAATCAGTCTTCACTGTACTAATAAATACGCACACCACACATTCTCCTGAGCATTTACCTCTCATTCAATCCTTGCAGCTGAGGTTGTAGGTACTTAATTGTGCCCATATCACACAAGGGAGCACTGAAGGCAGAGAGAGTTGCCACAACTTGCCCAAGGTCACCCAGCTCTTAGGTACACAGACACCCCCACCAAGCAGCAGGTGGGCAGGTGCCCGTGCGCAGCGTGCCCCCAAGTGCCCTGCAGGGGCTCGGCGACTCACCGGATCTGGCTGGTCTGTTCCTCGATGGCTTCCACCGCACTCTCCACGGAGCTGAGCAGCGACTGGATCTGATTGGCCGTCTCCTTCAGGAGGAAGCGGGTCACAAACTGGTCCACATTGTTGCCGCCCTCATATACCTGTGGACGGAAGGGAAGGGGCACTGAGGGGAAGGGGAGGGACACTGGAGGTGGGGTCTAGCACAGGAGTCGGGGGAAAGCTGGTGTTGACATGTTTGCTTTGCAATGGGAAGGGAGGACCCCACGGCCTCCCGCACCTCAGAGGCTGTGGCGTGTCCAGCGCAGAGGCTAGACGTTTAGAGACCAAATGCGAACCCTGGTTTCACCATTCACTACCTCTGTGACCTCCCCGAGGATAATGGGATCACTCTAGTATCTATCTTACACGGCTGTGATGAAGGTCAAAGGGCATCATGTGTATCAAGTGCTCAGCACAGGGCCTGTCGCACAGCAGAGTCTCAATAAACAGTAGGTGCCACAATGGAGACACTGTGACGGTCACAGTGATGATAGTGGTCACCGGTGGTTTTGTTGTTGCTGTGAGAAGGATCATGATCAGGAAACAAGCATCTACCACCTTTCCTCCCTCCTTCCTCCTCTGGGGAGGATTCCTAGGGCTCCTGGAAGAAGAGAATCAACAGCAGCTCCAGAGAGGAAAGGGCTGGGGCTTAGAAATCAAGAGGAGGCGGCCGGACAGAAGCCTTGCGGGGGAATCAGAGAGGGAGTCTCCGCAGATGCCACGACCAGGGGAACTCTAGGGAGAAGAGGAAAAACAGTTTTCTCCAAGTTTTGCTCTGTCAAATGGAAGAGAATTTCCACTTCTGTCCCGAGATTCTGCTAGGCCATTTTTCAAGGCTTTTGGATCCAGGGGAGAAGCTCTGGGCTGCCAAAGGCTTCACAGCAGAAGGGAGAAGGCTCTGCTTATCCACATCGCTCAAGGACGAGACAATGAAAATGATGCTGTGTTGGGGGATCCTGGATCTCCCGGCCTCCTCTGCCAAGACCCCGCCTTCCTGAGCCACCTGCCCCAGGCACCTTGGAATTCTGCCCAGTCCCTGGCAAGGCAAGGAAAAACAGGGCCCTCAAGGAAAGCAAATTAAACCATCCATCACTCTGACTGGGAATTAATTAGCAATAATTGCACAATGGGAAACATGGCTGAGAGACTCAGAAATGAAGGAGGAGGAGGAGAGGCACATGGGAAGACGGCTAAGGCGTGGCACAGGCAGACGCCCCATGCCGATGGCCGGACCAGGGCCTGCTGGGGACAAACTCTGACAGAGTACGAGTTCACAGCCAAAAGTATGTCAGGTTCTTGCAGCCTGGCAGGTTCCAGCAGCCTGATAAATGACCGATTATCCTTCCTAGCAGACAGCTGGAACCACACAAGATCCAGTGATCAACAGACTCTAGACACACGAATGGCCAAAAATGGACATGAAGACGTAACTCAGTAAAATATTTAAACACAAAGAAAACGGCTTCTAGAAGTGACCAAGCAGAAAAATGAGTTGAAGTGTGTTAAAAGCACCCAGACCAGCGACTGAAGGGATCAGTTAGCGTTACTGGTTAGCTGAATTCCGAGGAAGACAAGTTATTTTTCAGGGAGTAAAAAATGAAGGTTTTCCTGATTTCTCCTCCACCACAAGTGAAAAGTAACCTACATTCCCCCATGTACAGATACAATCTCAGATTTGGTAAGCGGGGGTGCATGTGCCTATTTGTTACATGGTGTATTACACAATAATGCTGGGTGGACTGAGTTTGCCTCAGACAAGAGACCAGCTCCATAGACTCCACAGGGAAAGGCTCAGACAAAGAAATTTTGCACCCAGTGGACAAGTTACTTATTTGTAGAGCAACTGGTAGATATCTAGAAATGTGCAAATTTCTGAAACTCTACTAGATGAGCACCTTTCTGCAAACAATCCTTAAGAATTTGTCCTAAGTCACCTGGGTTTGAATTAGAGTTCTTCATATAGAGAAATTGTGAAAAGCAGTAACAAGGATTACTCAAATTAAACATTAAGGTTACAGAGGTTAGGAAATAAAAACATTAACCAGTATAGTTGAAATTAAGTAATGATGTAATTTCAACTGTACTGGATTCAGTCAATAAAGTATAGAAAAAATAGCCTAAAATCATAAAAATTATTTTTATTCCCAAAGGGAAGATAAAGAGATGGAGTCTTGCTCTGTCGCCCAGGCTGGAGTACAATGGTGCAGTCTTGGCTCACTGCAACCTCCGCCTCCTGGGTTCAAGCAATTCTCCTGCCTCAGCCTCCCAAGTAGCTGGGATTATAGGTGCCTGCCACCACACCCAGCTAATTTTTGTATTTTTGGTAGAGATGGAGTTTCACCCTGTTGGCCAGGCTGGTCTTGAACTCTTGACCTTGTGATCCGCCCACCTCGGCCTCCCAAAGTGCTGGGATTACAGGAATAAACCACCTCACTTGGTGAGAAAGTGTTTTTTTATTAGCTAAGTATAAAAGTAAAATTAAGAATGTTTATGATGTATTTTTTTAAAGTAACTAATAAAGTGAATACTAGGAATTGTACATTCCCAATCATAATCCATGATATCAACAGATCACCAAAAGGTAAAATGTAACAGAGATGAAATCATAAAAAAAGAGAAGGATAAAACGCAACAGTTAGACCAAATAAAACAATAATAAAAAGGCAGCCCGAATTCCCTTACATAAAGACACAGTCCCAGATCTGATTAGACAAGGTCCACCAGAGGTACAGCTAAACAAAAGTGGCACAAAGGACTTATTAAAAAAAAAAAGCCCGTGCAAAGATTCAGTAACCAACTGTGATTGAATGAACAGGACAAGTTGCAACATCACTATCAGGTTAGAATTTAAGTGAGAAAGTACTGCCCAAGAAAGGTAGGAATCCAACGATAAAAGCCCTCAAGTTGTAACAAGCACATGCCATTATTAAATCTTCACGTACTGGGAGAGGGTACAGCTTTGGGGACTTCGATGCCTATAGCCATCTGATCAAACCATTTTGCTATATGTCAAGGGCCATAAACTGCTCAGATTCTTTAACCCAGTAATTCCTGAATTCTGATAAATTATCCTCCCAAAATAGTGTAAAATATGGATAAATACATTTCCCACAAAGTATTAAGTACATATTACTCATAATAGCCAAAACTTGGAAATAATCTCTTATACCTAACAAAAGAGGAAAAGTAAGTAAATTAAAATATTTTAAATGATGCTTTTCAAGCATCATTTAATAACATTTAATAATATAGGGATAACGTTAAAAAAATTAGGTAAAAGAGCAGGAAATAAATTTTTGTACACAGATTATAAATTTAAGAAATACACATGGAAAAAAGACTAAAGGAGGCCAGGCATGGGGGCTTATACCTGTAATCCCAGCACTCTGGGAGGCTGAGGCGGGCAGATCACAAGGTCAAGAGATTGAAGCCATCCTGGCCAACATGGTGAAACCTTGTCTCTACTAAAAATACAAAAATTAGCTGGGTGTGGTAGCGCACACCTGTAATCCCAACTGATCGGGAGGCACAGGCAAGAGAATCGCTTGAATCCAGAAGGCAGTGGGTGTGTGAGCTGAGCTCACACCACCATACTCCAGCCTGGTGACAGAGCGAGACTATGCCTCAAAAACAAAAAAAAAGAAAAAGAAAAAAGAAAAATTGGCTACAAGTAATAAACTAAAACGTTACCAGTAGTTAGGGATAGTGGGAATTGGAAGTGATTGGATTTCTCTTTATACTTATCTCTACTTCCTAAATTTTGCGTATCAACTACATACCATTTATATAATGAAAATGCTGTAACAGAATTATGTATCAAGCAACATGGCTAAATATATAGACAGGAAAACCATTAGAAACACAAAGATTTAATGACAAAACACAATTTAGTATGAGAAATTAGCTGACCACTGTCCCACAGGACAGATACATTAGATAAAAATAAGCACAGATACAGAGGGCATTGTTTGAAAGAATAGTGAAAGTCTTTGAAATGGACAAGAACAGACTCCTGGGTTTCCTGTTTTTCTAGTTTACTTTTTTTTCTAGTTTATCTGAGTCTTTCCTTATTTTGGAGCTACTCTGTTTTGTTTTCCAAAAAGGATTTAATTGAAAGATGGATTTGAGGCCGGGCGCGGTGGCTCAAGCCTGTAATCCCAGCACTTTGGGAGGCCGAGGCGGGTGGATCACGAGATCAAGAGATCGAGACCATCCTGGT